ATTGAGGTGGTTCGTTTTGGGGACCCTCGTGTCAGTCGGGCTTCTGGACCCTGAAACCCCATGGCATGATTTTTCATTGATCACAATATTGCATGATATGTTGACGCCACAGTTGGTTCTCAAATTCAACATGGTTTTGGGAGTTGAAATCTTCCGATCTCGAGTGATAAATTTGCTTGATTCATCAGTGGCTCGTTGGCGTAGGTGACTTTTTTCTTCCGCACCATGGAAAAGTAGAAACTGAGATTGTGATTTTATATTTCTTGCCTACGTTTTAAATACAGGGTGTTAATAAAGTCCGATCCCATTTTTCCTGTAAAAAAGTGAAGGCTAGTATAAAAAAAAACTACACGTGATACTTACAAAAAATGTTCGACATATTTACCTTAGTATTTGGTCTTGTTACCATTTACTTTAACCATGCCCTCAACTCTTTGTTTAAGGCTCTGTGCTAATTTTTCCAATGTGCCTCTGGAAATCGAATTCCATACATCTTGAACTTTTTTTTACTAGCTCTTCCCTCGTCCGGGGTTGTGGCTCTTTGTATACATTTTCCTTAAGTATGGACCACTGGTTCTTCAGGGGATTCAAATCTGGGCCGTTAGCGGCCCACACCCCCTTGCTCCAGACCGTTGAAACTTGCGTCTTGATGAGACTCAAACTCGCTTTTGCTGTATGGGCTATAGCACCATCCTGCATGAAAACTATTTTTCTTTCATTCGGAAATATTTCCTTGTTCCCCATGCTATCGAAATAGATAGGTAATATTTTTTCCATATAATGCTTTGCATTGACTGATTGGCCTTTTGGTATGATATGTAGAGGGGTCACGCAACGTGCACAAAATCCACCCGCTACCATAACTTTAAGCCCGAATTTTGGGATCGCTCTTGATGGTACATCCGATTTGTTTTCTGTCCTGTAACGAACATTTTGTTGGTTCAATTTTGGATATAGTTCAATAATAGATTCGTCAGTCCAAAGGATGTGACTGCGCAATTCTTCACCAAGTCTTTTTTCACTCAAATGGGCACTTTTCTGAAGGAGTTCTTCAAATTTCAGACGGTCATCGATATATTTTTGTGACATGAGAGGTTTTTTTGGTTAGTTTGTAAGCTGTGTGACCCCACTTCGTAGTTTTCACAAATTTTTGCACGGTCACACAGTTAATTTGCTTCTTCTTCTCTTTATAGCGTTTTGAGTCATTTAACTCCCTTGCTCAATTACGTAATGAACTACCGGTTTTCTTGCAAAGTCTGTTTTTAATCATTCTTTTTGTGGTAGGTGACACCTTTCTGGGTCGCCCTGGTCGCTTTTTGTCGTGGACAAAATTTGTATTCTTCCATTTCCAAACAGTTCTGCGGCTGCAGCCCAATTTTTGCACAATTTCTGTAGGTTTAAGCCCCTGCTGATGCAATGTTTGTATCTCAACTCTAAGATGCTCATGACTTACACGTTTAGTTGTTCCTCCCATGGTAAAAATTTGAAATAAATAACTTCACTGGTTCAAAAGTTCCAGCTGAATTTGTAACAACCACGCTCCAAAAAATGCATGGGATCGGACTTTATTAACACCCTTTAGTAAATATGTAAAAGTACGTTTTCTCTTTGAATTTGCGATAAGAAAGCTTTTTTGTGAAAGAGACATGATTATTTCTCGCGGCGCCAATACAGCTCGTTTGTTGTCGCCATTTTGGCTCCAGACAACACAACTGTAGACTTAAAATGTAGCTAACGTCATATTTGCTCATCTAATTAACTTACCGTAATGAAATGTGGTAGCTGATTAAGAAAATTGTTTTGCGTAATTAATTTGGCCACATGTTGCCAATACTTTTTGCGGGTAAATTTTGCGAATTTTCCAACAAATTATTTAAAAACTGTGTTTATCTAATTTTAATCAATAAAACATGACTATAATCGAGAACTACATTATATTTGCTAAAGGCCTACAAATTTTCATGCCAATTGTATAATGCATTCCAACGTTACAGCCAATTTTATTTAGCTGGCGTGGGGGTTGCCAATACTTTTTCCATTGACTGTAGGTAAATTAATTAAATCAATTACTTAAGTGCACTTGTCTCGTTTACTTTTGCTGTTGTACCCTTATTTGAAGATTTAGACAACTCCTGTCTTAAAATCCGCAATATCTTACTCTACGAACTCCATCGTATGATTTTAAAATTTTCCCTAGCTTAATTAATCGAATTAAATCAATTTGTGTGCCAACGTTTATTTTCTTGATAAGGAGGCATTCCAAAGACTCAATTACAAATTCTAACATAAATGGGGAATATTGACAAAATGTCATATTTGTCCAATTTGTCCAATTTGTCCGTCATATTTGTCATAAATGTCGGACATATTGAAATCGTGACAAATTGGACGGACAAATTGACAAATATGACATTTATGACAAATATGACATATATTCGCTTGACACGGACAAGCTCCATCCTTAGTGTCCATATATATGTAATTGATGGGCCTAAAAAGGGGTAGTTTTAAACTTGGTCTCGAGTAATAATAACCAGAATTGATGGGTTCATTTGCCCATTTTTATAAAAATAGCCAGCCTCAGTTTGAATGCCTGGGTAAAGTGTGCTGTCCACTTTCAGAGAATTTTAACCCTCACTGCAGGTGGTGAACGGAAAATCGGCTCATCCTGAAAATTACATGGGATTTTCTGTGAACCCTTTCTCTGCCAAATCCGTTCTTTTCGATGTGAATACATTTTAAGTTGTAGACAGGCCCCGTTCTAGGCGATGTGGCGCCCTAGGCAAAACGATAATGGCGCCCCTACGTGCTCGCACCATCGGCGCTCGAAAACACCTTTATGTACTACATCTAACTACAATATGTCACGAAATTGTAGATGCAACGACATATTTTTTATTTCGATATGATCCCACAAATTCTAAAATTCCGAACTTCGGGAACAAATGTCAAAAGTATCTACATACGGACAATTTCCGCATCGTCGATTTTTAATGTCACACACAGGTCAAAGGTAAACATTTTTTTAAAGATTCAAAATGAGAGGCCAAAAATAAAACTCCATGGATAATTTTTTGTCGACTTTCCTATATTTTTTGTTGGAGGCGGCAAGGCCTCACGAAAAAAACGAGCTATCGTATGGCCGTGTATGGTTTTTCTGACGCCCACAGGAATTTTTCGCCCAGGACAGTTTGGAGGTCTAAAATCGTGACCCCGGCGAAATTCAAACAATTGAAATATACAAAACCATATTGACATCGAATACATGCCTTTCTTGTTGGCTGAATCCGCGGGATTACGAATGTGGTAGAATTTAAAAATAAAATTACAGCCAATTCCCGGTTTTTTAATCCTATAAATGTAACAATTTTACCATTTTAAAAATTCGGTACAATTTTGATTAGAATGAAATTATACAAATTATTATAATTTTCAGGAGTTGATGCTACAAGTAGGGCTGACAAATCCGGATACTCCGAATTCGAAAAATCCGGATTTTTCGGATTTCGGATACTTCGAAATCCGGATTTCATTTAGAGACGAATTCAGATTTCCCTAACTTAAATATTCATATTTTTTACGATGTAAAGCTTCATATCTTTGCGAGAAGTGTGAATTTAAAAAAATTAGCATGCTATTCATTACAAATATAGTTAGTTTATCATATCCGACGTCAAACTCACTTATTTGAAATTTTACATTTTTCCAGTTCTGAGAAAAATGCCGAGAAATAACCTGCATCATCAGAAAATTTTCAGAAATATTTTAACTTCTAAAAAAGCTGAGATTGCAATTAAAATTAATAATTCTACTATCTGACATCGATCTGATTCGTTCAAATATCAAGGAAATAAGTAATAACAATAAATAATTCAAATCCGGATTTAAATCCGGATTTGGGTCCCAAGAATAACGGATAATCCGAAATCCGGATTTGAAAATTAGGAACGGATTTGTCAGCCCTACAAGTTGATGCTACAAGTTTTTCTAAATCTTTAGAGGCTCAAAACACTATTTTTGTTTGATTTAAAAGATTGACAAAAATGGATTTTATAATTTGCTAGAAACTATTCTTAGCAAACGTTGTGCATATTTTTTTGGTCGGGTTAAAATTTGATAAATACGATGAAAGTTTTAAAAATCCCGCTTGTGGCTGAAAATTTATTAAAAAATTACTCCATATATTTGGGAAGAAATCGCATTCAAGTATATTATTTCTGCGAGTGAACAATTTTACATTAGTCCGGCGGAAATCGGAGGTAACCACCTCACACTGCTGCATTATAAAGTGTTACGAAAAAATTGCAGTTTATTCCTAAAATTTAAAGTTTCGCAAGTTAAAATTTGTGAGTAACTTACAAATAGAATTTTGTAGCACAGATTTCAGTGAAAGTCAGTTTTTATGTTATTTTCCACAACAGATTTTAAAATTCCGCAAAGTCGATTTTATCTAGTGTGTAGGGGCGCCTGCCTGCGCCCCTCGCAAATCTGGCGCCCCAGGCGGTTGCCTAGCTCGCCTATACCTAAAACGGGGCCTGGTTGTACATGCATATTTAAAGTTAATTTAATCTTTCATATTACATAAATATGTTACACAATGAGTTTCGAACGAGTATCATGGATGTGTCGTAAATGTGGCGATAGACTTACATATGTATCTGGGTATTAATTTGCACGAGAGTAACTGATAAGCTTCATATAATGAAGAATCTTCATGGTTTGCGGTCCACCAGGGCTAAAATATATGTAAGTACGAAATAGATAAAATTGTCCAGAATTTAACGAAGCAGACGATTGGGAGCTAACATGGGTATAGATAGGAACAAACTTCATATAGCATGAAGCAAACGGTTCACTGCCTGCGGTGAAGGGTCAAACTCTACGAAAATGAATGACAGAGACATACATAAAGCACATAGGGATTCCAAACAAGATTGGTTTTTAATAGAAAAAGGAAAGCTGAACTCGCTACTAAAACCCGATTTGCATACATACAAATACACACGTAGTAATAAAAGTGCCTGGAATAAGACGTGGTACGGCTAGAATTTTGGTTTACAAAATGCCAAGCATTTTCAAAGCAAAGTAAAAAATTTAAGTAAAATATATTTGATAAAATTTCAGATCCATTAAAATGGATCTGAAACAAATTAAGCTATGGGAATGTTCCCAGTGCTCAAGAACGTTCAACAATAAGCACAACTTTAATCAACACGTTGCTACGCATGTGAAGAAAAAATGCGAGGTGGACCTTTCAAAAATTTAAATTTACGGCTAAAATTAGCTTGCATACTTAATATTTATTATATTTAATATTTAGATTTGCGGGAAAATTAAGAAAAGCCCGGCCGCCCTGACGGAGCACATGAGACGAACCCACAGCAACCGGGTCCGACCCAGGTGCAATGTTTGTCAGCGGGAGTTTTTCAATTCCCGCTCTTTACTCGGGCACATGGTCGCCGTGCACAGATCGGGGAAACGACCCCGCTTCCCTTGCATATTTCCCGGTTGCGAGAAAACTTATCTCAACCAGAACCATATTTCGCGCCATGTTAAAGCTGAACATTCCGAAAATCCGGTCTTGTATCGGTGCACACTTTGCGGGAAAGAATTTAATCGCCGGGCCAGCCTTGATCGTCACATTTCCACTCACACGACCGAAAAACCGTTTAGTTGTGCCACTTGTGGGAGAGGTTTCGCAAAAACGGAGTCCTTGAAACGTCATGAGGTACAAATAAATATGCATAAGTAAATAAATTCTTATCTTGTAAAAATGAGTAAAAGTACAATTTTTTGTAGGTGTCCCAACGTATGCTCACAAATTTGGACCAAACCAGGGTCAATCAATCACGAATTTAATTAGTATAAAATTTGCAAATAAAACTATGGGCAGGTTTGGCGGAGATATTTACATCGGAAGCGTGAAAAATACGCAGCGAATTTAGAAAAAAAATTTGCCAAACTCCTGGGTGCGTTTTCTACCATTTTTACGCAAAATATCTCGGCTAAACTAGAGGATTGTCGGACATTTGCGAATTTCATACTAATTATATTTATGATCGATTGACACTAGTTTGGTCCAAATTTGTGAGTATACTTTGCGAGATCTCCATTGCTACATAAATATTTTCCAGGCGACTCATTTGGATCAATCCACTCGAAAAATTTCAAAGTGCCCACTTTGTCCTCAAACCTTCTTTACTAGTTTTGGCTTCCGAAACCACATCCGCGTAGGTCATGAAAAGAAGAGGAATATTTGTTGCACACTTTGTGACAAAAGGTTTCCGATGTCGAGTCATTTGACCCGCCACGTGGCCTCGGCACACCTCTCGAGCAGGGAGAAGATTCATGCCTGCGACAAATGTGAGTACAGGAGTCACTCGACTTGGAATTTAAGGGTCCACAAAAGACAGCATAATGCCGAGAAGCACGAATGCTACTTTTGTGGGAAGAATGTCGTTTCTTTTCAAAACTTGGTCAAACACTACGGTCGCCTTCATACTTTAGAGAAGAAGTAATTTGTTTCACTATTTTTAATTGTTGGCTTAAATAATATATTAAATTTATACTTTTACAATTTATTCCGTAATTAAGCATCCTTTCAGAAGGGTTTTCTGTAGCAGTTGCGAATGTAAATAGATTTCGGAAATTCGGCTCATAAATGTATAAGCATACACAAATTTCAGAAAACATCAAATATAACTTGATGCTTAAAACGTTAGCGTTTATTTCTCAAAAGTATGTAAGTTGCTCAAGAATGTCCAACCGTATGTATGTACATATGTCACGTCTGTATAAATATGTAAATAATACACAATTTGTTACGATATCTGAAAAATTGGGGAGGAATTTTTTCCCTTTAAAAGTATGTACATATGTGTCCATGTAAAAATATTTTGGAAGTTGGACTGGTCAAGACCAATTCGTGCGATACCTACATTCACAAATTATAATACTGTTTTAAAGTATTTACTACGTTTTCTGAAACGCTAAAGGTTTTACATATGTAGATACATATGTATATCATTATTTTATTTCATATTTTATTTTAGAGCTTGGTTGTACTTTTTGCGTACGTATGTACGTGGGTGTTTTATTATTAATTTTCAAAAGGTATGTTCCGCACTGTTTCTGACCAAACTTTTGATGAAATAACAAACTTCAAATACTTTTAGGATGCTGTGATTTTTTTCAGTTCTGTAGGTTAACATTAACACTAGCAATAACTCATTAAAATTTACCTAGAAAATATGCCAAAATTTACGACTTGATTTCATTATCATCCGAAAACCGTTTTCCCCTGATGTTTTTCTTTAAGTTTCGAAACGAATAATAATCACCAAGGGACAAGTCTGGACTGCACGGGGCGTGGTTTGTGCAGGTAAAGCGATTTTCGTCTGCACTAACCCTCGCAAAAAGCCAGGTATTAGGTGGCGCGTTGTCGTCTAAAAAAAGGCCAACTCTTTATTTTGACCCCACGTTTCTTTTCAACCGGAGGACGCAGCTCCTTCGGGGTTCCTGCATACACGGCCCCATTTATTGCAGTATTACCAGCAATAAATTTTATAAGGAGGGGACCTTTGGTATCCTTGAAAATGGTCATCATCAATTTTTTTTCAGATTTTTGCACTTTTCAATTCACGGGCGGTGGCAACCCCTCGAGCAGGCCCGTACCGACGATGCTTCTAGGTGGAGCGCTGGCTCCAGGCCGGACGGCCCGAAGGGCCGTACCGGCACGCCCTCAACACTAGATATAACTCCTTTCACACGCCACAAGATAAATGCATATTAAGTGTGGGAAAACGTAAGGCAGACGTGCTTCATTTGATGGGCCGGATGGTTCTAGCCAACAAATTAACAATTTTAAACCCGAATATGCTCTTACGGGGATAGACCTTTAGCTCATGAGAACTTTTATGCATCATACAACATAGAGAATTACAATTTCAGACCTACCTCCACGAACTCCTAATCTCATGAAAAATTTAATTTCAAGAAATGAGAGAGAATTGAACTCCGTGATTTGAAAATAAATCTCGATCGGTTTCTAAGTAGGCCTTCCAAAATTGGTTTTTCGGATTTCGTAGAAAATACTAAAAATCGGTTTTCAATTTAACATAGAACTAGTTTTACAATTTTCCAAAAACCGGTTTCACAATTTTCCGAAAGACCTGTTTTTACACACTCGAAAACAGTTTTTGCGTTTTTAATAAAATCAACCGTTTTTGTAGCTAATGTTAACTGTTTCTAGTTGTTGAGATAAGAATTAGTTTTGGTGTAATCTCATATTCCCAAGTTTTCTTTTAACTTTAATTTTGCATTCTTTGATTATCACATATATTTGCAAACTTTTTACAATTTGCAATATAACGGATTTTAAAATTTGGTTTTAAACCGGTCTGTGCAAAGTATCTAACCCCTGTTTCCTACGATTTTCCAAAGTTCGATTAATCTAAAACCCGTTCCGTAGAATTTCCCAAAATCCGATTAATCGAAAACCAGTTTTACCACAATTCGAAAAACCCGAGTAATCGCAAAACCGTTTTTCTTAAACCTCCGATTTGGGACGCCCTATTTGTATGGCTAGCCTATGATTTCTGGTTAATTGAACCGAAGTTACTTAGAGCTTAAACCTATTTAGTCCCCAAGACGGATTTTTCGCATGAAAACGTTTAGCAAAAACCATGGTAAACCCCGGGGTTTTGCTATTGAAAACCCACACTCAGGGGTTTTACATACCTGCGTTTTGCGGGTAGTATTGCTCAAATTTGCTAGCCCAAAACTCACGAAAACCCTAATACCCCAAAAACCCGAGGGTTGTAGCATACCTTGGGAAAAACTGGGAAGTTTCTTTGAAGAAACACTCCCGCTTGATACACATTGTAGTGAAATTCCGAAGTCCTGTGAAGGAGTAATTTAATAGAAATCAAAGAATCTACAGCTTCGCGTCAAAATTCCATCCCGATTATTTTGCTTTAATTCTTTGATTCGAACGAAGACATTTGTCGTATTATCGAAAACGTTTTAATTCTGAAGGAATACTATTTATTTGCCTTGAAAAATTGTAGCCATGGTGCAAGACGAAAATAATTGTCAAGTAGTATCAAGTAAAATCAAGCATTATCCCGAAAACCGCAGAAATGTCTTGTCAAAATAATTGTCGTTTCTCGAAAGACACTGGTTTTCGCCGTTCTCTCTTCGCGACGAATGCAAAATCTTTTGTGATTTTGAGGGATGTGCAATTGAGTGTTAGATTTGAACACTTTCTTTCTAAAAATTTGAACATATGTATCTAACATTGCATTGACGCCAGCGGTCTCGCTCCGATTTTAATGGAACTTCGATAATTATCTAGCCTTAGATAAATAATTGAACACATGTTTCAGGATTTTTCATAATGCTCAGTTTAAACAAAGTTATGATAGTATAAGTGGCCGAAAATTCGCATTTATTTCCCTTAACAATAAAAAAAGAAAAACTTCACTAGAGAAAGTCGAATTTTCGGCCACTTAAACCATCATAACTTTGTTTAAGCTGAGCATTATGAAAAATCCCGAAACATGTGTTCAATTATTAAGTAGCGTCAGCTGCTTATTGTGATCACTTTGTCCGTCTGTCTGTCTGTCTGTCTGTCTGTCCGTCCGTCCGTAAGCAGGATATCTTTAGAATGCCTCAAGATAATCAAAAGCGGGTTTCGCCATTGTGCTTCTAATTTTTAGTTCTCGGTCGATTTCGAAAATGGGGTCAATCGGACCACACCCCACAGCGCCAGGGGGTGTGGTCCAAATCAAATTTAACATTAATTTTCATATGGGGTGTCATTTTAAAGGAAATTTCACCACGAATTCAATGGCGTTAAAATTTTTGACCTCGTGACCTTAAGGACAAGGTCAAAGGTCAAAAATACATAACTGTCATATGAGGTATCACTTTGAAGGAAATTTGACTGCGATTTCAAGGATGTTAATATTTTTGACCTTATGATCTTGAGGACGAGGTCAAAGGTCAAAACATTCATAATTGTCATATGGGAAGTCATTTTAAAGGAAATTTGACTGCGATTTCAAGGATGTTAATATTTTTGACCTGATGACCGTTGGGACGGGGTCATATACGGAAACTTTAAAGGAAACTTGAATCGGTCTGACGCTACTTATTTACATTTGTTTGGAGGGTTTATTTATCTACCTAGTAGGGACAATTGTAATGACCAACGGCTTCCGCGCGCCAAAAAAAATAGTAGGAGATATGTTAGACAGTTGTAGTATTTTTTATTGAAATGCCCATGCAATTGTCTATCAGAAACTATGTTCCGAAATTTTTTGTGACCCAAGGTGCTAAAACGACAGATCGAACAAATCGACGTGTTGCAATTTTTCAGAAACATTTTGGTAAACATAAAAATCCGGCATTTTTCAATAGCTCATTAAAAATCGGAACTAATCGCAAGATGGTCGACCGTACCATAAAATGATCCACTAACATTGGCGGTGTAGATAACCGAAAACCGAGTTGAAGGGAACGGTCAAAAAGGTCACAAAAAATCACGAAGGCGCGCAAAGCCTGAATTCGGCTGAATTCATGCCGGATCCTAAGAAAAATTTCCCTACAAATGAACGGTCCAAGTAAAACTACGTCGCTGGCCCCTAAACTCGACCTTGGACCTATGTCTTTAAGATGTAAAAAGAAACACTTGCTAACTTCACGCCAAGTAAAAATAGTACCCTTGAAAGGCGGGCACTGATCGTGCGGTACGCGCTTTAAAAATGGAAATAAGTATTTTTCAAAGATAAGTAAACTTTCACAATTGAAGCCATATTAAATTAGCAAAAGCACTTTGTCGACACCCCACCAGTCCATATTAATCATAAAATTTTTTAAAATATTCATCGGACACACCATCCAGATTCTGTGATTTTTTTATTCGGCGTAGATTGGATTTGGTCAAAAAAGTGAATTTTCTCCCTCTGGGGGTGAAATTTCTTGTCAAAAAGTATTTTTTGAAGTTATCGAGCGAATGGAACAACCACTAGACCACACTCTATTAAAAAATAGCTGCTAGATATTCGAGCAGGACTCAAGACCTTCTGATAAGGCCAAAATAGTAAAAATGAAGTAAAATTCCAAAATTTCTGACTCCATTTTGGACCGAAAATAAAATTCACTGCCGCCGAACCTCAAACTTCTGGAATATAACACGTGATCCAAACTGAAGATAAATACATGTGCTAAGCCCCACACAAGTTTGAAATCCGAGAAAAAATCTATCGGTTAGAAATGAAACCAATATGCCTTGAAATGAGTGCGTACTGCGAGTGAGCTGTGGATACAAAGACTTCGGGCTCTTGTAGCTTCAAAAGGAGAACATTTTGAAAACTAGTTAGTATATTTTGAAGGGAATTTAATGGGCTTTCTCGTGGTATCATTAGTTTTCCAAAATTCCATCAAGTGGGTTCCCTACATTAATTTATTCATTGGTCATAACAATTGGCCCTACTAGGTAAGGCTAGATAAGTATCGAAGTTCCATTAAAATCGGAGCGAGACCGCCGGCGTCATCGCACTGTAAGTCTAACAAGGGACACTCACGACCTGTCGTTTGAGTCCAGGGTACCCACTATGTTTTTTAGAATCTACTAGGACCCCAGATGAAGGATTCATTCATATTTCCGTGTAAAACTCATATTTGGCGCCATGGCGTGGCGCCAAATTCGCCAAATTTGCATGTTTTTATTTTTGAAACCGCCATAACTTTTGAAAACCTGGACGGATTTTCAGAATTTTT